TTATATATATTTAATCTTTTATTTGTTTGTTATGATATTGTATGATATCAAGAAAATGATTACCTAATGAGAAGAATAATTATTGATCAGTTTGAAGACAGAATAATAATTAATATCTAGAAAAGAACTAAATCATTCGAAAAAAATAGAAACCCTTTTCGCAAAAAGATGGGACACATGACCGAATGAATCATACCTCATTAATTTTGATTGATGACATCAAGTATTGAAAAGGTATTTTCTCCATTAAAATTGTTTCTCTGTAATGCAATAGAATAGGTGAAGAGAGGAAAAGAGAAAAAGTCACGACAGTCGACAGAGACGTCTTTTTCTTTCATAAGTTTCATTTGAAATTTTGTACATATACAGAGTTATCGATGACTAATCAACGTGTTTTATACACATTGAATTAATTGAGTCACGGCTACTTCCTTTATTTCTTTCCAACTTAGGTTTTGTTGATTGATTGTAATATGTAATTATACATGATTTATTTTGTGCATAAATACAACAAACATATATATCAAATATAACCTTGGAGATTAAAGTAGAATCGCAATTGACCAAAAACAAACAATGTCTGCTGATACATCTGCTGAGAACAATTCATGCATTCGATCAGAACATCATGCTACTAAGCGAGTACTGTCTTATATTCAAGTTCTTTTTAAACAACTGAGTAGACGTAAACCAATGATAAAAGTACAAGCTGAAATTGACACACGAAATGAGTTGAGACGTGATCTAAATTGGATTCAATTACTTGCTATAGGTCTTGGTGCTACTATCGGTGAGTGAGATTGAAAAGAATAGATGTGATAAGAGTTTTTAATGGTCTTTTGAGGTGCTGGAATATTTGTATTAAGTGGACAAGCTGCTGCAAAATATTCTGGTCCATCGATCATCATTTCATTTCTTATAACAGGCGTTATTGCTCTATTATCGTCTTTATCATATTCAGAATTAGGAGCAATGATGCCTAGTTCTGGATCAGTATATACGTATACTTATGCAGGTGAGTTACTGATTGTATACGTACTTTGCTTTCATGAACATTTGTATTTGAATTGTTTTAGCTTTGGGAGGTATACAATCGAAAGTATTCGTATAAGAGATTTGCTTGTTCTTATTCATTGTAGAATATTTAGCATGGTTTATTGGATGGAATTCTGGATTACTTTATCTATTCGGTATGTTGACGGTGGCAGTTGCTTGGAGCAAGCATGTGATCTTATTTATTCAGATTGTATCTGATTATAATGTTACAAACATGATTGTCGAAGCACCAGTGGCTTGGAACGAAGCTGCAGAAAGTTTTTATGTCACTGGTCAAGCGATTAATTTACCTGCTATTGCAATTACTATTGCAATTACAATTCTTCTTATTATTGGAATTCGTCAAACAGCTATTGTCAATCTTGTATTGGTTGTGATTAAAATTATTATAATTTTAATATTCATTTTTGCTTGTTGTAAATATGTCGATCGCAATAATTATTACCCATTTTTTCCACCAAATAAAGGTACATGATTGTCTTATTAATATATCTAAGAAATGAATGCATTTTATTGTGTACCTTAGGTTCATTTAGTAAATATGGAGTAACAGGAATGCTGCAAGCATGTACTTATGTATTCTTTGCATATGTAGGTTTTGATTCAGTATCAACAGTAGCACAAGAAGCAAAGTCACCAGAGAGATCACTGCCAATTGCCACTATTGGATCAACAATTGTTTCACTGCTAC